CAAATGCAGCCACAGCACGAAGCAACCTTGACGCAGCCATTACATTGCGATCTGCAGAGACTGAGTTGCAAAACACAATAGAACTACGCGCAACGGCGTCAGAAATTGTAGCTCCAAAACCGGATCTCTCTCGACGCCAGAGCGAAAAAAAGACGATTTTGAAGCACTTTTTAAAAGGATTTTTAGAAGGAAAATCACTAGCGCCAAAATGGAGAAAATCTGCTGACAAATCACTGTCCGAGCCTTCATGCAGCCACTCCAATACGATTTACGAAGTCCAGCTGCAAAAGACAATAGTATTACGTATGCAGCCAAAGCATGAAGCAACCTTGCAATCCCATTTACATTGCGGGAAGGATACTACAGTTGCAAATCACAATGGAATTCCATCGGCAACTCATCCACCAGCACCACTTGCAACCCCATTTACAATGCGGGAACGATCCTACAGTTGCAATTCACAATGGAATTCTGTCGACCGCACATAGACGAAACACAGTTGAAACCCCATTTACAATGCGGAACCGATCCGAGACCGATCCGACCATGATCCGACCATGATCCGAGGATGATCCGAGGATGGATCCGACCACACACGAGACCGTCTCGCACCCGTCGCACCGCAGAGGTAGATCATCGAGGTTCGGGGACAGACTTTGTATGGAAAAACATAGGGTTTCGTGCATCTGCTATCTCTCAAAAACGCATTTCGTGCGAGACTTCCTTCCAAACTCCATCGGCAACTCCTCCACCAGCACCACTTGCAATGCCATTTACAGTAAGGGAACGATCCTAGAGTTGCAAATCACAATGCAATTCCATCAGCAACTCATCCACCAGCACCACTTGCAATCCCATTTACATTGCGGGAACGATCCTACAGTTGCAAATCACAATGGAATTCTGTCGACCGCACATAGACGAAACACAGTTGAAACCCCATTTACAATGCGGAACCGATCCGAGACCGATCCGACCATGATCCGACCATGATCCGAGCATGATCCGACCACACACGAGACCGTCTCGCACCCGTCGCACCGCAGAGGTAGATCATTGACGTTCGGGGACAGAACTTTGTTTGAAACACATAGGGTTTCGTGCCATCTGCTATCTCCTCAAAAACGCATTTCTTGGGGGCGAGACTCCTCCAACTCCAACCTCCATCGTCACTCCTCCACCACACCACTTTCCATGCCTTTCAGTAAGGAACGATCCTAGAGTTGCAAATCACAATGGAATTCCATCAGAAACTCATCCACCAGCACCACTTGCAACCCCATTTGCAATGCGGGAACGATCCTACAGTTGCAAATCAAAATGGAATTCTGTCGACCACACATGCACGAAAAACAGTTGAAACCCCATTTACAATGCGGAACCGATCCGAGACCGATCCGAGACCAATCCGAGGATGATCCGACCACACACGAGACCGTCTCGCACCCGTCGCACCGCAGAGGTAGATCATCGAGGTTCGGGGACGCACTTTGTATGGAAAACATAGGGTTTCGTGCATCTGCTATCTCTCAAAAACGCATTTCGTGCGAGACTTCCTCCAAAACTCCATCGGCAACTCATCCACCAGCACCACTTGCAATCCCATTTACATTGCGGGAACGATCCTACAGTTGCAATTCACAATGGAATTCTGTCGACCGCACATAGACGAAACACAGTTGAAACCCCATTTACAATGCGGAACCGATCCGAGACCGATCCGACCATGATCCGAGACCAATCCGAGGATGATCCGAGGATGATCCGACCACACACGAGACCGTCTCGCACCCGTCGCACCGCAGAGGTAGATCATCGAGGTTCGGGGACAGACTTTGTATGGAAAAACATAGGGTTTCCTGCATCTGCTATCTCTCAAAAACGCATTTCGTGCGAGACTTCCTCCAAAACTCCATCGGCAACTCATCCGGCAGCACCACTTGCAATCCCATTTGCATTGCGGGAACAATCAATGCCCTAACTAACTCTTGCTTTAACTAACCCTTTCCCTGACGAACCTTCGACGAACTCTTTCTTCGACGAACTCTTTCTTTGACTAACTGTTTCTTTGACTAACTGTTTCTTTGACTACCTGTTTCTTCGACGAACTCTTTCTTCGACGAACTCTTTCTTTGACTAACTGTTTCTTTGACTACCTGTTTCTTTGACTAACTGTTTCTTTGACTAACTGTTTCTTTGACTAACTCTTTCTTTGACTAACTCTTTCCCTGACGAACTCTTTCTTTGCTAACTCTTTCTTTGACTACCTCATATATCCTGACTAACTCTGTCTTTGACTAACTCTTTCTTTGACTAACGCTTTCTTTGACTAACTCTTTCTCTGACTAACTGTTTCTTTGACTAACTCTTTCTTTGACTAACTCTTTCCCTGACTAACTGTTTCTTTGACTAACTCTTTCTTTGACTAACTCTTTCTTTGACTAACTCTTTCTTTGACTAACTCTTTCTTTTGACTAACTCTTTCCCTGACTAACTGTTTCTTTGGACTAACTGTTTCTTTGACTAACTGTTTCTTTGACTAACTCTTTCTTTGACTAACTCTTTCTTTGACTAACTCTTTCTTTGACTAACTCTTTCTTTGACTAACTCTTTCTTTGACTAACTGTTTCTTTGACTAACTCTTTCTTTGACTAACTCTTTCTTTGACTAACTGTTTCTTTGACTAACTCTTTCCCTGACTAACTGTTTCTTTGACTAACTGCTTCTTTGACTAACTCTTTCTTTGACTAACTCTTTCTTTGACTAACTCTTTCTTTGACTAACTCTTTCTTTGACGAACTCTTTCCCTGACTAACTCTTTCTTTGACTAACTCTTTCTTTGACTAACTGTTTCTTTGACTAACTCTTTCTTTGACTAACTCTTTCTTTGACTAACTCTTTCTTTGACTAACTCTTTCTTTGACTAACTCTTTCCCTGACATTCTAAAAGTCCGTAACACGGAAGTTTCTCCAAATAAACTTCCTTTGATTACATTTTGGGGGAATTAAATTGAACAAAGATCCATCTACCAGCTATTTTGACGAGTCTCGACCCTGAGGCCTCATGCGTCAATGTTTCAGACTGAAGGAACCCAAACAACCCAGATGTGAACGTCCTGCTTTCTTCAACAGGGCAGTTATATGTGAGGAAAGTACCAAGAACCTGGGTATGGGTCAAAACTAAACCCCACAAGATCCGAGAGATGGTCAGTGATGATTGTTCTGAGTAGTTTGTCAAGGGTTAATTCAGGGCCAATCGTCTGATCTATTTCTCGATTTTTTAGGGTATCAAATTTTGTGGGCAAATCATCTATCTAGTGCCAGTTTGAGGCCTGTTTTCCTGCCAAGCTTTGGGACGTCCAGCCTTTGATCCATACGCCCAACATACGCCCACTCGCACCTGCAGCTACCTTACTTATAATCCCTTGTGTAAAACCCGGTGGGGAAAACCCTGGTGGGGTCACCCAATCTCCTTGGCGCTCAGAATACATGTATCGCTTTGCCTCGTGGTCGGAATCTCAGTGGGCTCGCGCACCGGCGCACCAGGCAGCTGGCTTGGTGTGAGGCTGAGTGTTTCGAAGAATCTGATGCTTGCACCACTATTTCAACTTTTTTTCGCAGATTTGCAGTTTGACTGAGTTCTTGGTTTGTAATGGTTTATACATGTTTATACCCCCATTATCCCCCCTTAATACTATCATTGTATACCCCCATATCATTTGAATACATGCAGGTGTGCTGACCATCACCGAGGTGGTGCGACAAATCCTACTACAGACCTTTGAAGAACTACTGTCGCTTCTGAGACGACGCCGAGTTCGTTGCACGCAACGAGCGTCTCAAATCCGGCAAAAAGTTCTAGCGACACGGGCGGAGGAAAGCTTGTTGGTGGCCGATAATTTGGGATGTAGGCCGCATGATCATGGCCACTTATACACTTGTAAGTATAAGTTCCAGTCCAACAGCTTTTCATCTCCACATGGCTAACCAATATCCTTTGGGACAGGTTGGTATGGCCTGCTAGTCATGAATCTTACCAATACCACTCCACATTTTCAAAGTTGCATTAGGGTCATTAGAGATAGATGTTGTTCGAGTTTGATTTCATTTCAGACATTAGCCATGGTGATCCATTTTAGAGGTCATCCTATTTGAACAGAGCTACGCAGCTACATTTGGAGTGAGCCATCTGGCAGTCTTGCCAGATTCTAGAAAAGATCAAAAAAGGCTTCAGCAAAAATTTCCCATGAGGTCGATAGATCATAGAAAATCCCCTAGGTATACTTTTTCGTTTCGCTCGAAGCCGGGACATTTTTCTGGGACATAAATTCCAGCCAGGCTCTGATTGGTCAGGTGGGGAACTTCTGGTGGAGTTGATGGCCATTCTGATGGGTATGAAATTCGATGAAGTTTGAGGGGTACCCAAAACAAAGACGAACCCCTCTGGGATCGGAACGTGCATGTGGAGTCATTTTATTTTTTTAAAACCCCGCTTCAAAGAAATAGTTTACCTTAAATACGGGAAGTGCACTAATACTATTTTTATACTATTTTATACTATTTTATATTAGTAAGATAGAAAAGGAACATCCTAATTCTCTCCCCCTAATACTAAACGCCCCCCCCCGCCTCCTCCAAATAATAAACACCTGCAGGAGCTTTTAGTATTTGGGGGGGTATTAATATTCGGTGCACAGCTTCCCCTAATACTAAATTTAAAACCTTAATTGAAAAGAACAACTAAATCTGTCTATTCAAAATCAATTAATTTCCTTTTTGAAATCTAAATATTGCCAAAAATTGGATTTCGAAGCTTTCCCCTAGCAAACGGTCCCCCTGTCTTGTAGTGCGATTCACCCTGGTGACTGATAGCTTTTCTGCTTAAGGATTACAGGTTGAGAGGGTCACCTGACTGTGTCGACCTTCTTGGCAGTGAGCAGGGCACTCTCTCTATTCAGGGGGGGTGCGCGTAAGTCTCGCTGGCAGGAGGGTTTGACACAATGTCAGGTGACAGACTGGCGCCGTGGCGCAAAACTGGGCGCAAAGCTGATGGGCGTCACTTTGAAGGACTTGAAGAAGGATGCCTGTTTGAATTTGCGGCCTATGACAACAGGCATCAACAGCAAGGACGTGGACTTGGATGCATTGGCGGAAGAGCCATAGAGACCCACATCGATGGAGGCCAGGTGTATACTGGCCAGGTTCTTGCTTTGGAAGATGGCTACTACGAGTATTGGTTTGATGAGACATTTGGGAAGATTGAAGAGCTGCCTCAGGTGATTTTCCACTTTTGTGATGTTCCTGAGAACCGCTGCCAGAGCCCTACAGCATATCGCGACGCAATTCATGTGGACGTGTTTCGTCTGCTGATGGCCAAGCAGGCTGAGAGACTGCACTGGCTGTCTGATGGATGCCGAGAGCGTGTCAGGAAGCATCCAGCTGTGGTCAGTGGGCTGGCCGCTGCTGAAGGGGGGGTTCCTCCCCCTGGAGGTGCTGGCCAGCCTGCTGTCCCTGAGGCGCAAGATGTGCAGGTGGGCATTCCTGGTGTTGAAGGCCTGGCCAGGGCGCTCGGGACTGGAGCTGCTCCAGCCAAGGCGACAGGCGCTGAGGCCAAGTCCAGCTCTGAATCAGAGCATGAGAAGAAGAGAGCCAGGAAGAAAGATAGGCCCAAGCATGGAGATCATGAACATCGAGAAGGTGATCATCAGGAGCAACCAAAGAAGAAGAAGCGCAAGAAGACAAGAAGTCGCAGTAGTGAGGGCAAGAAGGGTGGCAAAGACTTGCGTCGAGCCTTGGAGAAGCGTGAGCCGGCAGAACCTCGCTTGTCTGCCCTTGACCTTGCCATCAAAGACAAGAAGGAGAAGAAGGATGGCGGCAAGAAGAAATCAAAGAAGAGAGATTCTTCAAGCAGTCGACGATCACCCTCAACCAGCTCCAGTAGTGGCGAGCTTTTTCATTCAGCCGCCCTCCCACGAGGCCTGGAACGCCTCCGCCGGGTGCACCAGAAGAAGCCAGGACGTCTGGCATCGTTGACCCTCCAGAGAATGAGGGAGCTGGTGCAACAGGCGCAGGGGAGGGGAACGGCGGAGATGGAAGAAGACCAACTCCCGGCGACAGCCACAGGGTACCTATCCAACGTGTTCCTGGTCACGCATCCTCCGGCCACGGTCAACCTGCGGACACTGAAAGAGCTGCGGACAGTGGCCGCAGTCATCGACCTCCTTTGCCACAACGACCCCCTCCGAGGGCTGGACATCTTAACACAGCGCTTCAAGGCGCTCGAGCTAGCTCACAAACAGCAGTCATGGACACAAGCCACTCAGCTCGAGCTCATCATGAACGACGATCTGGGAGCCGTGTTCCGTCCAGAGCTTCGCGCAGCCCAAAGCGAAGTCAAGGAAGACATGAAGATTCAGAGAGGGCCTTACCGGCCAGCCAGGCCAAACAATTGGCAGACTCAGACTTGGGCGGCAGAGGCACCGGCGAACGAGGGCAAAGGCGACGACACCAAGGAAGGTCCACCGCTGAACAGCCCCGCAAAAGGCGGAGGAAAGAAAGGCAAAGGAAAGGGGAAGAAAGGCCGGTTCGGGCGGAGATGATGGTGAAGGATGGCAAGTTGATACTGCCATCTTTGGAAAGTGCGTTGGCTGGGCCCGAGATTGATGAAGCCACCCGAGCACACTATGAGCAGCTGTGCCGAGATGTTCGACTGCACAGGCTGTATGCAGCAGTTCTTGCAAGCTATGCCAAGATTGAAGATCGTGAGACGATTTACAAGGATTTTTCAATGCTGCTGGTGGAATGGCGTGAGCATCCAGTGGAGACCACCCTGAAACTTGTGGAAGCATACTATCACCCCCTAGTCACCGAAGGAGGACTGGCTGGGGACAGAAGCTTCAGTAGAGTCACTCCAAGCCGCCAGGTGGATCCGCGCCTTGGCAAGATGGCTGGAAGGAAGCAACGCGCCATGGAAGGGAAACTCCTTGGAGTTGTTGGTTCAACTCAGGTGCGAGAGTTGTTCACTGGGTGGGATGCTTCAGATGGAGGAGTTTATGTTGGAGCTGGTAGTGAGTTGTTCCCCACTTCGATCTTCCAGGAAAACTTTGCTGACAACATATCTGTTCAAGATGCTGGACGGGTTCTGGATGGCAGACCTCTGTACGTTGACTCGGGCCAGTTTGCTTCTGCTGCAGATGTGGTGGACAAGTTCTCAGTTGATGGCAAGAAGCACACTTGGACTTGGGAGACTTGTCAGGAGGCATTGCGTGGGCTGATGCATGGCAAGGTCTCTGTCTCTTTGGCTGGGGTGGTTCTGAAGACGATTGTCAGAAACTGCCCTGGGCACTTGGGCAACATCGTCCGCATGCTGCCTGGCTGCGCTAGAAGGCATTTTAGACAGAGCCCTGTCGAGGTGATGCCTATTGCAACGCCTGAGGATTCCCAAGCTGAAGTCCGCTTGAAGAAGCTCTTGTTTGATGACAAAGGCCCCCGCCAACTGACTGGGGCAGAGCGGGCCCAGGCCAATGAACTTGCCATGGGATGTGGCACTGAGGTATGGCTGGGGCTTGCCCTGGACGTCCTCAACGCCATGTTCTGTGGTGGTTCAAGGCCATTGGGAAAACTGATGCCACACCCCAAAGTATGGACTCCCGAGCAGGAGCACATTGTCTCTCAGCTGAGAAGCGAGATTGAGCTGTGGACCTCGGCAGAAGGGGCTGAGATTGAGCTGGCGCCCTGGGAGTCTGTGTCTCAAGGCTTGGGAGACTTCTACACGGGCTTTGAGGTCACCAAGGCTTACAAGCTGAGTTGGAAGGCTATTGAGCCTCATGTGCCGGGTCCGGGAGAAGCAGGACGTGTGACGCTGGCAGAGACAGTGGCACCAGAGCTTAGAGACTATGTTCTGGACCCTGAGCTGCTGCGCATCCCCGATGATGAGTTGGGTGAAATCAAGCACTCAGCCCCCGTCTTGGTGGAGTCCAATGCTGAGTATGACCTGATAGTGGAGAACCTGGTGAAGGCTGGAATGTTCGAGAGGGAGGTCGAGGCAGAGACGCTGAAGGTGTTGGACAAGCCGGTGTACAACGGCATGTTCGGCGTGCACAAGTCCTGGATTGATCAGGGGCAAGGTGAATGGATGAGAACGCTGAGACTCATCATAAATCTTATCCCATCCAACCTGACGCAAAGAAGAATGCCCCAGCAGCCCTCCAAGCACATGGGCTATGCCCCGTTGTGGGGCAGCATGGCGCTGCTGGATGGAGAGGTGATCCTTTCATATGGGGAGGACGTGCGACACTGTTTCCATATCTTCGCTCCCGGTGAGAAATGGCGGGGGTATTTCGTGCTCTCCAAGAAGGCTTCTGGAAAGAGCTTTGGAGACGGTGTCAACACACCAGCGCGGCCCAGAGTGCGGTCAGCGCCAATGGGTTGGGCAAACATGGTGGACTTTGTGCAATCATCCTTGGAACGGATGGGCAGCTTAGCTGGCATTCCAGCCACCCGCTGCGTACGCATGGGAGAACCTTCCCCACTGCTGGAGTTGTCAACACCACGACATTACCACAGCTTCTACGTGGACAACTATGACGGATTCACCGTGGTGGCTTCCACAGACCTTGGTTTGTACGAAGGAAAGCCATCTGATGCTCAACTTCGGCTGCGTGAGGTCTTCCAGACCTGGAGCATTGGCCGTGATGAGAAGAAGGCAGCGGAAGGTACGCTGTCCTGGACTAGCCTGGGAGCTGAGCAGTTGGGGCCGGAAGGTCTGGTGGGAAGCTCACGGAAGTTCCGGCGTGCAGTGCTGGGAAGCTGCCTACATCTGTTGAAGATGCCCTACCTGAAAACATCTGACCAAGAGCTGCTGTCATTGGTGGGGAAACTGATGCATGCAGTCCAGTACTGTCAGCCGCTGGCATGTGTGTTTGACGAGCTGTACCGCAACTTGCAGATCAACGACCCGGAGATTGAAGTTGACATTGGCGCCATGGAGGAACTACTGATGCTTTGTGGCCTCCTTCCGCTGATGTGGACATCTCAACGGTCAGTGCTAAATGCAACAGCATATGCCACGGATGCTTCACCGGATGGCGGAGGGGCCTGCCAGACGACTTCACTGAGTCCAAGGGGCAGAGCAAAGCTTCATTTGATGTGCTCGGAAGCTCAAGGACAAGAGGGGGGAGCTTGTGACTCTGTCCTCCTCATTGAGATGTTTGGTGGCATGGGGGGCCTCAGACGAGCTGTTGAATTGCTCGGAGTTCTACCTCAAGGAATTATCCTGGTGGACTCGGACCCTCTGTGTATCAAGCTGGCAAAGAGACACTGTGCCTATGTCATCACTGTGGACAATATCAACAAAGTCGACAAGGCCATGATCCGAAGCTGGAGAGCTCAATTCCCAAGGGCCAACATGGTTCTGGTGGGTGGCGGTTGGCCTTGCGTTAACCACAGCTCACTAAACAAGAATCGCCAAGGGGCAGAAGCAGCATGAGTTGAAGAAGGTCAGCAGGCCCCTACGACTGCCGGACTGGAAGGTTGTGGAGTTTTATGAAAACGTGGTTATGGATGAAGCAGACTTGACCACGCAATCGCAGAAGATTGGCAAACTGCCAGTCCTGAATGAGGCAGCTGACGTCTTACGGTGCCGCAGGCCACGCCTTTACTGGCTCAAAGGGTTGGAGATGATCTTAGGATCTGATTTGGAACTCCTTGAAAATCAGACCGTGGGAGAGCTGCAGACCAAGCTGACGGTGGCAAAGATCTCAAGTTCCAAGCCCCCAATGGAGTGGTTCCTTCGAAAGGACTGCAAGAAATTCAGAGACGAAGGCCGGCCGTTCTTCACCTTTGCTCGACCTGTCCCACGAGCTGAGGCACCAAGAGATCCTGCAGGATACGAGCGGTGCGATGCCAAAACACTTGGAAGATGGCGAGGAGATTCGTATCGCTTGGCGCCATACCAATACTCTGAGGACAACCTGGTCATGACAGGACATGGACCCAGGCGCCTGCTTTCAGATGAGCAGTGGCGCATGTTGGGGTACAATTCAGATGCCCTGGACTTCAAACAAAAGCTGTCAGAAGATCAACGGGGACAGCTGATCGGGAACACATTCCCTGTGTTGGTGGTGGCAAGACTTTTGGCGGCTCTGGCTGTCCCAGCGAATGTGTGCGAGGGACAGGACCTCTCTGCCCTTCTGTGGCAGGTTTGGAAAAGCAATGAGGACAAAGTCCAGCAGCTGAAAGAGGCTTCATGGTCTCAGCGGTTTGGGCCGGCGGCCACGGGAGTCGTGGGGGGCTTGCGGCACTTGCTTGTTCAGGTGCCTGTGGGCCCTTCGCAGTCCCCGCGGTCGCTCCTGGACCCAAGTGATGCGCTCACTGATGAGCAATTGCTGGTCTACCTCATTACCCGTAACGTTTCACACCGTGGTACTGACGTCAACCTTGACCACGGAATGCCCTTTTCATCAAGTGACTTTTGCAGAAGATCGGTTGACCCTAGCCACTGGCAATGGAAGGTCACCCTCTCCTACAAGTGGAAGCAGCCTCATGCCCACATTACTCAGCTGGAGACGGTGGCTGTCCTCGACCTGCTGAGAAAAATGATGCGCTCTAAGGACAATCAAAAGCGCAAGACGCTGCTGTTGGTGGACAATGCTTCCGTCGTTGGCATCCTGGCCAAGGGACGGACGACAGCTACCTCCTTGAGACAACCCCTGCGCCGCATTGCTGCCATTTTGGTGGCAACCTCTAGCCGCCTGGTCGTGGCCTGGATCAAGAGCGAGTGGAATCCGGCCGATGGCCCATCTCGATGGGTCGTCCGACGTGCGAAGACCGATGCCTAAGCGGCAAGTGTTGGGAAAAAGATCCAGGCGCGAGCGGCAGCAACAGAGGAAGGCACTGGGGAAACTTAGGTCTCAAGTTGTTTCACCGAAAACAGAAGAACGATACCTTTCTGCAGTTTCACGATTTTTATCTTTTCTTATATCTCAGGGTAAAGGTTACCCTCAAAACTTTCTGGTGCTTGACCTTGAGGTTTCAGCATTTATTGAAGAATTGTGGGAACAGGGGGACCCTAAAGGATGGGCAGGTGACTGTCTCAGTGGGCTTGGTCATTTCATTCCAGCATGCAAACCTTATTTAGTGGGGTCGTGGCGACTGCATTCTGCTTGGGGTCGGGCTGAACTTCCATGCCGAGCTCCTCCGTTTACACCTTTGCTTCTCTATGCAGTTGCCCAGTCGGCTGTGAACCATGACTGGGTTGACCTTGCCGTCCTCCTTATCTTGGGCTTCCATACCTTTGCTCGTGCTGGTGAGCTGTTCCAGGCAAAAGCTGGCGACTTTGTGTTGGGGCCGCGTTCCGGCACTTGGACCTTGCCTCTTTCAAAAGGTGGCCAACGTCAGGGAGTCACGGAAAGCATTCTTCTCACGGATCCTTTTGTGATTACTCTCCTCAGAAATTTTCTTCGTTTCCACTCTCCTGGGGATCCCTTGTCTAAAGTTTCAGGGGGAACGCAACGAAAAAGACTTAATGATCTATTGTTGGATTTGAAAATCCCTTTTCCGTTTCGATGGTATAGTGTCAGACGAGGGGGAGCAACGCACGCGTATCGAACCACCAACAATATGGCAGCCATCTGCGTCAAAGGACGCTGGAACAGCTTGAAAACAGCACGCATCTACATAAGTGATGCTGTTGCACAACTTACAGAACTCCAGCTGTCAGAACAAAGAATGCGATCCTTGCGCAAATTGGCCGTCATTTGTCGGCCGTCCTTTGAACAAGCACTTGTTTGACCTCCCAAACCCCTCCGCCTCCCTTGGCTCCTTTTTCCACCTGATCCTTTCCAGCTTGAGCCAGCTACAGACACCCGCGCAGTTGCGCAAATCTGGGAAGGATGGTACGCAGGAGCTGCCTGGATATGTAAGGCAGTTGCCATGTAGGGAGGGCCAGGCACAGGTGGCTTTGGGTTAAGCTTGCGCCGTGGGGGCCTGGAGATTTTGAGGACTTCAGACGTCTGGTGGGAAGGATGTTCCTGAGGTTTCTCTTTCTTGTCTCTGGGTTCCTCTCTTTTGTCGCTGAGATACGTTATCTCACTGATCCAATACGCCTCTAGCGTAGCTGTGTCACCAAAAAGATCATGTCTTAGGGGTGTTGAGCACTAGCAAACGGTCCCCCTGTCTTGTAGTGCGATTCACCCTGGTGACTGATAGCTTTTCTGCTTACCCACCACCTACCCCCTTGTACACCACCTACAAGGGCTCCTGTGTACTTGCCTGGTGCCTGGATATGTAAGGCAGTTGCCATGTAGGGAGGGCCAGGCACAGGTGGCTTTGGGTTAAGCTTGCGCCGTGGGGGCCTGGAGATTTTGAGGACTTCAGACGTCTGGTGGGAAGGATGTTCCTGAGGTTTCTCTTTCTTGTCTCTGGGTTCCTCTCTTTTGTCGCTGAGATACGTTATCTCACTGATCCAATACGCCTCTAGCGTAGCTGTGTCACCAAAAAGATCATGTCTTAGGGGTGTTGAGCACTAATATTAAGTTAAAACCTCGACTTTAAAGAGACGGGTTGATCAGTTTTCATTAGGGGGTGAAACCCTCAAATGGGACCACCATAATTGCAGCTTGACATGGGCCGCACCTTCATTTTAATTGTTTTCTAAAGGGGATCAATTAAAAATCAACTTGGCCAACTTCAAATTTCCCACGATTCAAGATTGACCCATATGGACCCTAGTTTTTGTAGTCTTTGGGTTGCATTTAGTCATAATTAGGGGAAGGGGTTACTAAGATAGTGGCAAGTCGTACTTTTCCTATAGCCCCAAAAATGGCTTAGTCCCGTGCTGTGCAGGAAGCCAAGCTCAATGAGACGGGTCACGTCGCGAAAACGCGCAGGACCTCGCTCGAGATGGGACTTGTTGGAGGGGATGTTTAGTATGAGGGGAATTGGATCATATGGGAATGGGTCAAAGTCTACAAGACCATGTTTGGGTGGGAGGAACGTCCATAAAAAACATGCATTTACCAGCAATTTTGGGGTGAGCAGAAGGGTCCAAAAGCTTTTGACCCTGTGGGTGTTTCATCGGCATGCCTCCAAGTGATCCGTGTAGATTCAAATTGCCACTGAAATTGTGGCAAACATTGGCAAACTACTTATTAATCTTATTACAGTATCTTCTTGGGTTACTGTACTTTAAGTTGGTTTGAAACTAGGCTCACTGGGGTTTATCGATATTTATGGTGGATATTATGTGTATATATATATATACATATAGATACATCGTTTAAGGACCCTCTCTTTGGCGCTGTCTAAACCAAAGTGAAGGGCAGCTGATTCAAATCGTTTTCTTTCAGTGGAACACAGGTGAATTCAGGAAAGTCCATTTTTTGGAAAGTTTCCAATAATTTTCCATTGATAATGGCAATGTCCAGTGTCATGCTAATCACCAGGTAGCTTCAGAAACATCTGAATACGTCATAATACATTCACATTGCTATCAACAAAAGAGTGATGTTCCACCCTTTCAGACCCTTTCAACAGCTTCATCTTGCTCGAGCCTGCCATGTACATAATTCTCGTTCACCTTGCTGCGATTTAACCGGCAAACCAGTGAGTTGCTCAACTGTGGGGGCTCATCATTTTATAGCGTCCAGTCGCGGTGTTGTCTCGACCAACTGCTTGCGTGTGGGATATGGCGTGGTACTTCACTCAAGCTTTTTTGATAACTAGCCATATTCGGACTAAGTAGGTCAAAAATTCAAGTGATACTTGTTTAACTTGTTTGGGTTCTGAGTTCCTATCATGGAATGCAAAGTCCGATTTCCACCGGAATTATGGCTGCTGATTTACGGCGAATGAATCGTTTTTGACGGGACCAAGATATTTGATATGATTGCCTGCTCGTGTCATATGGTTCGATTGCCAAGCCGGACCATGGTGTCACTGCGGCGGAAGTGTCGCACTCCATCCCAACTTGGGTGATCCCATTTGACAAGTCTTTCCCAGGATTTTTGTCCTTCACTATGAAGCAGGTTACCAGTTAGGAAGTAAACGCTGAAGTTTGGCGCCAGTAGGATAAGTCCGAGACACCCCAGTCCGACGCCGTTGATAATTTCCCAGTTCCGTTGACACGCCAAGAACCGGTGATGGAGCAATGATTCTTCCCAACAGCCTGAGCGTCATCTACTTCCAAGACCTTGCGCATGGGTCAATATATCATCACCTCCCATATTTCCACATATTTCCACTAGACAAGAATAAACATCTCAACACCATGATTGATAAACAACATTCAAAACCACTTGCTCCACGAAGCCTCGTTTGCTTGTTTTGCATCTGGGTGTGTCCCAAAATGCGGAATTTGACTGTAACCGCTCTAACCAGTGTATACCATATACATCCCGGCGGAAGGGAAACCGCGCGAGCGTTTTGATTGGTTGCTTCCAGGAGAGTCACAATCACCTGTAATTTACAATATAAAATGCACCTCCGATCAGTTTGGATAACTGAATTTGGGTTTAAAAAAGTGGATGCAAAATCTATTGATTTTTAACAAATCCAGGTAAACATCATGTGCATCAGACGTGGATGCGCAGATTTTTTTTCACACTCTTCGTCGGCTCAGCGATCCATCAGTGTGGAAGCTGTCAACCTATGCATCACTACCGCACCCAAACCCATACGCAGCGCAGCAACATGTAACGTAGGAAACTATCTCAGAGATACCAGCAGCGTAGCAACATGTACCTTAGTAAACGATCTCGGAGATACCAACCGCGTAGCAACCTGTAACGTAGTAAACGATCACAGAGATCTCAGCAGCGTAGCAACATGTCACGTAGTAAAAGATCCCAGAGATCTCAGCAGCGTAGCAACCTGTAACGTAGTAAGAAAGTCCCAAGGATCTCAGCAGCGTAGCAACATGTAACGTAGGAAACTATCTCAGAGATACCAGCAGCGTAGCAACATGTAGCGTAGTAAAAGATCCCAGAGATCTTAGCAACATCGCAATATATCCTGTACGAAGTACAAGGAACGTTAACATGCCCCCCCCAACCCCAACCCACAGTAACATGGCAATATATCCTGTACGAAGTACGAGGAACGTTAACATGCCCCCCCACCCCAACCCACACTAGAGATCTCAGCAGCGTAGCAACACGTAACGTAGTAAAAGATCCCAGAGATCTTAGCAACATGGCAATATATCATGTACGAAGTACAAGGAACGTTAACATGCCCCCCCCAAGTACAAAGAGCAATGCTCAAAAAAGAAGCAAAACGCACGTACGGTTTTCCTGCCGTAGGCATATACATCCATATACGTTATACCCATTTCTCGGACAAAGCCGGAAACTCTGCTCATTTTGATCATTTTTTCCTTTTTTAAATCCTTTTACCATGTTTTACCATCCATTTCGGAGACTTGAGAATTCTCACCGAGACCCAGACCTTAAAATGTTGACTTCTTCCCGGTTCTACCATGGAGTTGGTCCATGGCTCCGTAAGTCGACGTCTACAGCTCTGACCCAGTGGTGGCATGTGGTCTGGCTGCCACGGTGACTTCTGCTGGTGAAGCACAAAAGGTTGGGGGGAAAAATCGACAGTAGCCTGACCGAGATCACCATAAATCTATATAAATCTGGGAGTTTGAAATGGACTTTTAAGGGGGAACATGCCCAAATTGTCTTAAAACAGATATTGGTCAATGATATACTAAGACCCAAAAGGATAGAACAGTCATTTATAACATTTTATAACTAATTTAGTAGGATTGTACTTTTCTATGTTTTGGAGGGTTGCTGATAATGATTGAACATGTTATTATGTCATATGGCCCACATGG